TTGGACCGTTTCCATTAACTGTTGGTCATGATAACGCATCAGATTTGTTTTGTGATCACTATAATACTGAGATAAGACCAAAAATCGGAATTTCAGATATGCTTCGAATCCGCGATTACCCTTTCCAGGGGCTCACGTGCTATCTTCTAAACCAACTGAAGCCTTTGCTTTTCCTTTCACTCAACCAGTTTTTTTTTACCCTAATAATGCAATCGCAAAGGACTAAGGTGACGATCTATACCTACAATGCACGCGCACTTGAATCTGAGTACTGATACAGGCCTTGACTATGCAGGCAAGCACAAAGAATAAAGTACGACTTCATCGGATTGGTTGATACGAGAAGACGCCACCTAATGCCGTCTATGACGCCAAAAAAGAACTTCTTCGGAACGTGCAACAATAGGGGAGTCCGCAATGTCCGCGTTGTCGTTAACACGAGTTTGGCCATGAGCAATTCGAACGACTAACAATTCGAATCAGACATTTACGGTTGGAGAGATGTGGATCAATAACAGCTTCGATAATCCTCGTCGTCTACGCACCGATATCAAAATATGACGAAAACGAATTGGAAACGCTCTATGTGGACTTGGAAAAGTTCTACAGAGAAGACCACACATTTTTCAACGTCTGAGTTTATTACGACTACCAGGATCATAAGTCGCAATTCCACAAGCCTCACCCTCAACGTCAGATGTCGGAGCTTTCCAATGGAGAGTACCATGATCAAATAGACCAAATCATAGTGAATCGAAAGTTTTGCATAACCGATGTCGCTGTAATTGCAAAATTCTACACGGGACCAGAGCATCGCTTCCTTCTTGAAAAGTCCATTTCTCGAGGAAGTCGTTAAGCTCAAAAAACGATATCCTAAAACTAACATAAACTGGGATTTATGTAGATCATTAGAGGCTATTGGGAAGATGCCGTTTTCGATAACATCAACGAAGAATATAGTCAGCTCATTCACCATCTTCACGCTAGCCCTATGAAAGCTGGGATTTCGAAATTCACCGACAGACACTCGACCTGATATGTACGAGTCCACCGCCAACTCACTTTCGAACTTGCAAAATAATGCAGATAGGTGATAAAAGAAGGTCTTAAAAAGAGAACAGCAGCAGTTATGGTCGAAGCTGCAGAGGTTGGGAAAAGCATTCGCAAACTCCGCCGAAGCTTCACCAATTACAAAACCAAGATGATTGTACTCCGACACCCAAACAGAACTGTTACAGCTTCCTGGAAGGTAATGGAGAGGATCAATCACGATTACTAATCAGATCTCTTTAAAAGTCCCTTCCTGTATGAAAAAAGAAGGATGGACATGTTGTACCACCGGTTCTCCCTACCGAAATCTGACGTGCCATTTCGTCGGTGAAAAATCGAACAGCTCCAGGTTCGGACAGGATAAGACCTGAACATCTGAAGAACCTTCCGCCAGTCCTCGTAAACACACTGGCTCAGCTCTTCACACTTTACTTGTCCGAATGCGAGGTGGCTACTCAGTGGAAGACTAACAGGACTGTGCTGTTGTTCAAGAAGGGTGACTCCACGACATCGGCAACTATTGCCCATTCTGCTTGCTGTCTATTGTCCACAAACTCCACAAACAGCCGTCCTAAACAGGATTGACAGAACACTAGACGAAGGACAGCCATGTGAGCAAGCTGGGTTTCGAAAAGGATGTAGTACGATGGACCACACCCACACAATAACAAGACTCACTGAAGCACCGCGTGAGTACAAAAGACCGCTCTGTCTCATTTTCATCTATTTAAAGAAAGTTTTTGACTCAGTTGAGACAGAAGCAGTTATGGAATCCTGGATAGCCAGAGAGTCCCCTTCAGTAGGGTTTAGGGAAGGCGATAGCATCTCGCCACGGGACAACAAGGGAGTGGAAATCGATGGTCGGTAATTACACCATCTTTGCTTTGTCGACGACACCATTCTTATAACACAAACATTATCCAAGCGGAACGCATGCTTAAAGATTTTGATGAAACCTGTTGAAAGGTTGCTCTTCCACTAAATCTCACAAAAACGATGTTCATGAGGAACTGATTGGTTTCGCACGCCCCATTTACGGTCTACGGAACAAATGTCTCCGAATGCTCCATTAATATCTATCTAGTCCGTGAAATTAACATGAACCACTTGGCTCCAGACTTGAACAGGAGGAAACGAGCAGCTTAAAGAGCTTCCAAGAGCATCGAGGATGTAGTGAAGAGAACAAAGAACACACGAATCCATGCCCACCCTTTCGACTCCACGACTTTTCCTGCCTTAACGTATGCGTGAGAAACCTGTTCGCTGCGTAACCAGGATGAAATACTCGACGTTATTGAACGTGCAATCAAAAGGACGATATCCCGTGGATGTCAAACACACAGCAGAGCGACCGCCGACCCCGATGGTCAGAGTTCTGTACTGAAATCCAACAAAAAAAGTTTGATGCTCATCGATTCCCTATGAAGAGCGGAAGCAACTGGGTTACTCTCGCACGCAACAAGGAAAAATGGAAGATTTACTGGCGCCCGTTCGAGTCATTCGGCGGTCGGTTACGGAAATGATCTGAAGAGCACCGGCCATCGTCGGTTAAGCTGAAAGTGCAGTCGGAATCACAGTGTTTAGCTTTTTATTTACTTCCCGCTCTTTTTTTTTCACGGTATGGTGTGCACTAAATGCGCTAAACTGGAAAAGAACTCTTAGCAACGTCCAAAAAGCAAAATACAAGTTCTATTTGAGGAGAGCATTCTGAATGAACCTACACATCGTCGTCACGTCAACGAATACACCGAAGGAAAACTAAGGGGTGCTCGTCAAAGGACTCAAGAATTTCATGGAAAACACCTCAATTCTTTAATCAAAGATTTCGAAGAAGCGAGATTCTGGAAGAACGCCATCGAAACGTTCACGAATATAATGTACAGCGCGTGAAAATCTATTTGGGAACCATAACGGAATCATAAAGGTTCTATATCACCATCATTTCCGTTCCTCAACAACCCGAACTGGATTAGTGTTGAGAACACCCGCTTTTTCCACCTCAAATCCTAGTTGCGATCAAGAACATAAGCAGAAGCAGAGCTACGGGAACAACCAACATCACCGAGGAACCAACTCGAAACACCCATCAATTTCTTCTTGTGCTGAACAAATGAGCAAGCAGTCATCTATCTACGTTGATAAATTTATTTATGTGATCTTATAAACTGATCTTCTTAAGCTGACGCGAGGTTGGTACAGATCTTCGTTGTCGCTGTCGTTGTTTTTGATGTTATTGATCGATGGCTGACGTTTCGGCGACTTCGCCTTCCTCAGAGCCGTGATGTTACGTGCGTGACAATACGTTATGACAGGATTCCAACAATAGTCCAAGTGTATGAATCATTTGAGTGGAATGGAATCATACCAGTAGCTATAGAGTTTCATCAGGAATGCAACTTGTTCATTGTTCTAGCCACTCCCGATGCAAAAAAAAAGTGTTCGACGGCGTTGAAGTCAACGCCGATCCAACTTACGTATAAAGTCCTACCGAAGGCTATTGTAATTGCACTACGAAAATACAACTGCTCCATCGAAGACGTACTATGTTTCACTGGTAACGGTGAGCAGCAAAGCTGCAACACTGTAACGAATTATGAAGTCGTTCGTTCGGGACGAAAAGGAACGCGAACGTCATCTCTTCCTGGCACTGCACATAAATCTTAGTTATAACCACTTCGTGCAAAACCTATGGCGCGACTGAATGTTAACAAATAAATAAAACTGGGTGTTTCTTTGATACAGAAATCACATACCACGTGTCCTCAGCGCGTCCCATGAATATAGAAAACGATAGTAATGAGAAAGTGTTTGAAAAAACGTTAGAATGGACTGGACCGTATCCAGAAATCGCAGAGAAACAATTACTGAAATAGATTCAAAGATGCGGTCATCTTCTTGACTCAAAATTTTCCCCAGCGTTTCTCTGTGTAGTAGAGATATAGGTGACATTTTAATCACCTTAAAGGATTTAATATGAAGCATGTATAATAACACGAGCTATCGAGCCAGAGTGCTCAGTTTAGATCTCTGAAAATTACCTTATCTTTGAGACCCAGTAGAGGGGAAAACACAGATGGTATAGTCCTATAATGTAATGAGAACAGTCGACTACAGATTTACTAGAAGAACAATAGAAGGACCACAGGAAGATAGAAGCATTCTCCAGAACGATCATCAGGACGAGACGAGACGAGACAGGCTTACGGGTTTTTAGCTAAAACCAATCATTATCACGGAATGGTACTCGTATATGCCACATATTCGAGGCACACCATAGACAACCACTGCAAGAGAAGAAACTGGTACAAAAGGCGTTGGAGCTCGTATTACTTGTGTAGAGCGTCTGGTTAAATAGGCAACTAAGCAAGTATATGATAGCTCATAGAAAAGGATAAACCTATCGGCGTTAATCATTCCCAGAAGGATGCGCTATGCATTCGACTTCAACAAGCATCGTTGGAGGTGAATGGGTGCATATCTGGCCTTTACAATGACTCGCGGTGGTCTAGCGATGCATCAAACCAGTGCTGCTATCCTCCCTAACAAGTCTGGTATCAATTTTCCGGCGAAGGATGGATGGAAGGCTTGGCGACCTTTGGGGGTGGGGATCGCATCGATTTCATTTGTATTGCAGGGCGTCTCCAACTACTGCGCCACATTCGCCCATGGTGCCTTATGGAACAGCAAAATCCGACCAAAATTGGGAACACTAATTTCCGAACAATGATTTCTAAACTCATTGGGACAATGGATGCGAATTTTGCATCCAGATTTACTGGTTATGTTATGAAATTCTGTTAGCTGACTGAACACTTGATGTAGGTTAGCTTAGTTTTGTTTGTTTGCCGAAGGTTTTTATAAATCCCAACAATAAATCGAAGGTTAAAAGTTTAGGGTAGAGAGTTAACATTTACGAATAATCGCTTGTACAGTAGCGTCTATGTGAAGTGATGAAGAGCTGGTGCTTTAGGCGCGATATCTCATCGAAGATTCGTTTACGATTTCCGACGGTTAAAAGTCTCATCGATGCCGGATTGCTTACACAAAAGGAATACGAAGCTCTTGAAAGCATGCATGTGAATATCTTAGTGGTTTTCCTATTTTTGAATCCTCGAGTATCCTCATAAAGATCGAATATGTTTGGAATCCTTTTTTGATTTTTAGGAAGAGTGTAGGACAATTCGTTGGATGGCTCCTCTTCACTGGATTCAACAGATCATGCGCAAAGAAGAAGAGGTATGCGGAATTTTCTGACGACGACGTGGGAATGTTCCCAAAACGTGAATATTTCAGGAAAACAAGCCGACGGCGGCTCTTCTGAATAATTTCTTGACTGAGCTAAAACTCTATCGGCAGTCTTTACGTAAACTATTTTGCTACGATTGGGTTTGTGTGCCGCTGGTTTATACCCAGGTGCGGAGTGTCCACAAAATTTTGCGAAAAAATTGTTGTTGGGGAGTTTGTTCTCATCAAGTTAATCTTCGAAATAATCCAAGTCAAAACCATAGATCTATTCATTATGTCTACCTTTTCAGAGAGTTCTTGTGAAACATGAAAAAGAACGCTGGTCTAACGAAATATTTAAGTCAGGAACTACTGTTCCTACTTAAAAAAGAGATTTCAACCATAATGATGTGGTGATGAACGTGTTGGCCCCCCGGAAAGGGTAGTAATGTGCTCGATCCCCACCGCAGATACTCAGGGTCCGGAGTTTTGAAAATATCTCAGCATCATAGTTGGACTTCACATAATACCTTGCCGTAGAAGAATCATTGGTTTCCTGATGAATTGTTGTTTGTAATGGTAACGATCCACCTACAGTATACAGCTTTCCAGGTGGCCGCACTGGCAACGTATGCGTGTTTCTTTTTCGCTTTGTTTGGTCGCCAAAACCTCATTCCGGAGTTAAAAGCGGGAAAGGAAATCGATCTTATCATTCCGATCTTCACAATCGTTCAATTTATGTTTTTCGTTGGATGGTTCAAGGTGAACTAGTCTTTTCTGTATCACTTTGAGACGTTTTAGGTGTTATAGTGGCAATGTAAATCATGACGCTACAGGTCGGTCAGGACTTAATGCGTCCATTTGGTCTCGACGACGATGACATTGAGCTGAATTATATCCTCGATAGGAACTTTGCCACGTCATTTGCTATCGTCAATCGCTTACAGACGATGGAACCAAGTGAGTGCATCCTTGGTCAAACTTTTTTTCCCTATGACCGACCTTTTATTAACATCGGCATTAATTTAACAATTCTTTGTACTCTTGCTGAGCAAAAATGAAGTGTTAATTTATTCCTTATTGACGGGAAAGCTGACGTTTCGGCGGATTTCCTTTTCCTCAGAGCCTGGAAAGGCCAGTACGGCTGTGCGGAAGACGAAAGTCAGCTTTCTGTCAACAAGGAATAAGGCAACACCTAGTGTTTCCTCAACAATAGTATAAAAAATTTTTGTTTCCATACTCCTAACATTCTTTCGTAAGTCTAAAAAAGCACTCCATACCCGTAACTACCTAACGCAATTTTACTGAACGAAAAATTAGCGGCGTAACAAAACTGGGATAAGAACCTCTCTGTTTACTTCAACTATCAACATAATCTTATAAACAGAGTGTGCTATGAAATAAACCATGCTTAAAATCATGGCACTCATGTATTTCAAGTTGTCCAACTTTTATTTCACGTACTTACTGCCCGTGACTTCATGAATTCTGGAATGTTCACAAATCTTTTGAACCAAACAGAGGCTATGTCTATGATCTTCCTAACGGTTTACAACCTCATCGTGGCTGGGAGGTGTTCCTGAGTGTTCGGCTGCTATGTACAGCTGAAGGGATTCATCCACCAGCACATCCTCCTAAACTGAGTCCGGCGTTCCTGGTATCAAACTAGTCCCATGGTGGTAAATCTCGTTCTGTTCCACAAAGGCGGCGATTGCCTGTAGAGTAGTGACGACCTGGGGCAGACTTTCGCTAGGCTGACCTCGGGACTCTAAGGAACCACAATGACTAAACCAGCAAAACTCTGAAGAATGGAAATTATTCTGGGACTCACACAACCAGTGAAGACGGGCTATCCACGTATTCAAGTATTGAACGCCTATGATGCTCACATATTTGAGCGCTTGGATTTAAATTCTGGTCCTCCAGAAGAACTCCCACGTTTCAGTTGAGCCAGAAGACGACCCACTGTGGGAAAATCGAGATGGAAAGGTTGATCGGCTTCCGCATTCAACATACAGCCGGCAGCTTTGTGAACACCGCCCAAAACTGCATTCGTACATTACGATACCTGAGAATGAACAAAAAGTAACTTCATGCATAAACAGCCACAGGAATCAAAAGTGAGTTTTAAAAACTGTGTATGATTTAACGATTACTCTTCACATTGTGTAAAGATTTATAGAGGTAGTACATTATCTTTAGGCATATCAACTGGTAGTGAACTGCACATATCAACCTTGTGGCCAGTGATCCAAAATCCCAACTTCGCGTATGATTTGGAAAAGAACAAGTTCACCATGTCGCCATGTCTATCGGAATCATTTTTTCAAATGGGGCAGATAAAAAAGTATTCTAATAAAATTATGCAAAACTATGAAAACAATCTATAAGAAATGAAAGCCACAAATTCCCTTTCATGTTATAACAGCTGCATGACACATACAGTTCACTGCACTTCCTAACCAGAGCCAAATTTGAAAGAATTTTATAAAGAATTCCACCTAAGAACCTGTCGATACCACAAAATCCTTAACAATTATCACTTCTTTTATACACATAATCTGCTAAAATCAGTAATCACAGGTACGGATGACGGCTGCATAGGTGTCAGTTTTTTTCTTACAAACTAATAATTTCGAATATGAGCTGGATATAACCGAAAACAACATCACAGACATTGGTGAGCACAATTTCGATACAGGCATCAGAAGGCTAAGCCAAATAGCGGATAAAGTGACCTCACGCCTCACTTGTTGTTGTATAACTGAGCGACTACAACTATGTGGCCCTGGGTGATGCATGGTCTCGAAATGATGCCGTATAAATATACAGTTGTAGAACCCTTATGACCTTATGAACAATTAACAAGACTTAAGAAGCTTAGAAAAGATGTGGCGTTTCTATTATACGCTACCTTATTCAGACAATGCCATTCAATTGGAGCTTCGAGTAGAAACATGATTTGTTTCGAAATATGACCCAAAGTACACAAAATTTGTCTGCTACTTGACTTATTCCTCCTTAACCTTTAAATGTTAACAGGGCTAGCGAGATGACGCCTTGCGCCGTCAAATACGGACATCAAAGAAAAGGCGTCAGCTGTTAATTCACAGATCTCTCGATCACCCCAACATCGTGTTGGAAGATTCTGCAACAGGATCATAATTCCCTGAAATGTGAAACGTTCAACGATGAAACTAACTGTAGAAGCTTAAATAGGCTTAAATACTTCGAAGAATAGAACGACGTTATACATAATGTTATACCTTTTTATTCTCTGCCTACTATAATTTCGCGGCAGGGTACTAAATGAAATACAACCACAACGTTGCTGAGATATTTGCAAAACTCTGGACCGCAGGTGTCTATGGTGGGGAACGAACGCGCTATTGTCCTTTCCGGGAAGTAACGCGTTCACCACCACACCATGCGGGTCCTTTGTTTCGCCTGTCTCTCAGCTATTTCTATCGATCTTTGCCACAGCAATCACCCGTCAAGGACCTGCATGGTGTGGTGGTGAACGCGTTACTCCATGGAAAGGACAATAGCGCGTTCGTTCCCCACCATAGACACCTGCGGTCCAGAGTTTTGCAAATATCTCAGCAACGTTGTGGACGTTATACATAATCACAAGGTGGGCACACCATAAAGGAATGAACGCTTAATCTGACAGTGTACCAATGCAACCAGAACACAAGCACTTCTACTTTCCTTTTCTAAGATCAGGAGGCTTGTGTATAATTTGCTTAATAAATGAATCAATTTTAAGGAAGTCCTGCTATATATCTATAAAGTTGGCCTGACTATAACAGCGAAATCTTGATGAGGGAGTAGAATAGAAAATGAAAGTCACACCTGGAAATCGCGCTCGGCTTGAAGTTTTCGTGACCAGGTACGCAGAAACGCTGCACATACATAACTATGGAACTGTGAAAAACCGTCAGGTTCACTCTAAAGACATGTTTTAAATTGGATCTCGTAAACGTACGTCACCACGGATTTCGAAATAACTCAGACCACCATAACAAGGTTTCAAAAATATGAGTAGAATACCAACCAAGTACGTGTCCCAAAGGCGTATAGTAGCACGAAGGGGAATTTCTCTCATCAAAAGATTATTCATCCATCGAAAAGAAAATTGTAAATATTCGATTCCATTTGATTCCAAGTGTAAATGCAGAGGTCCTAAAGAAATACTACTGTTATTTTGTTAACTTTCATCTGCCGCCTACTATTTTTTAATGGCGGGGTTGAAATATAACCACAATGATGCTGAGATATTTGCAAAACTACAGATCGCTGGCGCCTGCGGTAGCGAGTGAACACGCTATTACCCTCTCCGGGAGTTAATGCATTCACCACCGCACCGTGCGAGTCCTTTGTTTAACCTTTCTCTCAGCCATTTTATTCATTTGCAAGCGCTATCAGCAATGACCCATCAACGGGATTGCTATCTGAATTGAACTATTGCTATTCTAAAAATGTGGCATAAATGTAGCATTTCGACATTTTCATAAAGAAGCTTTGCTAAACTAAATTCTAAATAACTTCAATAATGCTGAGATATTGGCACAACTCCGGACCGCAGCTGTCTGCAGTAGGCAACGAACGTGCTATTGTCCTTTACAGGGAGTAATGCATTCACCACCACACCATACTGGTCCTTCGTTTCGCCTGTCTCTCAGCCAGTTCTATCAATCTCTGCCATCAGCAAACATATAATTTGCAATATACCCTACCATCAAAAAGAATAGGCAGTAAATAATAAATTAAAATTGTGGTTATAATTACAGCCTCAGCTTAACTGGGTTCGTTGCCGATTTGGGCTTCCCAGATCAATCCCGCTGACGGGTGATTGCTAATGGTAGAGATCGACAGAACTAACTGAGAGACGGGCGAAACGAAGGACCCGCATGGTGCGGTGGTGAATGCGTTTCTCCACGGAAAGGACAATAGCGCGTTCGTTCCCCACCATAGACACCTGCGGTCCAGAGTTTTGCAAATATCTCAGCATCATTGAAGTTGTATTTAGCAATATACCTTACCATTAAAAAAAGTAGGCAGTAAATAATAAGTTAAAATAAATGCTAAGTAATTTCAGGAATTGCAGTAGGGTGCACGTGGAGACAATGTTTCCTTTCGAGCACGGCAGTTACACCAACAGTTAAAAAGAAGCCAGTTATCTAACACAAAAGTCACTATAGGAAAGACGTACGCAACAAAAACAGAAACACTCCGAAGAAATACGATCCCTACTTAGGTTATATTTTGAGTGCGTTGATAATAGCCCAAATATAGCTGGTTCCGCATCTAGATTGTACATTTTATAATTCACTTTTCAGCTACATTAATATTATAACTGAACTTCCACTTACGTTCTACAATACCACGATGACATCATAGTTCAATGAATGAGTTCTTTTCTCTCTGCATAACCTTTCAAATATGCATTAGTTAGCCACAAACCAATTTTTAGTGCCTCTTTTTATCGGTACGGATAGCCCATTAGTTGACATTTTGTCCAATATTACGCGCCCAGACCTGATTCGACCCCATACACAGGTCCAACTAATCCTCCAGTCACTCCCACAATCATAAAGAAAAAGACGATTTGCAGCAACCAAGCCCGTAGGCAAATCCGGAAACCCCGTGGATTGTGAATGCGAGGAAACAAATCGAATGTGGGAAGTGATGGGATCTGCACAAAATGTGATCCAAAACAAATAAATGGATCAGAAAATTCCACGATCTCGTTGGTAAAAATGCTATGTAAACTACTTACACAAACGAAAGGGTAAATTTAATAACACAAAAGGAAAGAAATGACTTGTAGAAATCGTGGAAGGAAATATGAACGAATGATTTAGACAAAGATATGTAGAAGTAACTGTTTCAAATTTGACGAAGTGCAGAAAAACAGGTTCTTCGTAAAGAGATGCTATCTTCTTCTTCTCTATAGTCCTGAAGAGAAACTCACGGTCAACTCTGCTCATCAAGTGCCTAAGTTGCAAAACTTTTCTCTGGATTCCAGGCTGAGCGAATGTGTAGTTATCATGAATGGAGTCCAGAAGTGCTGATACACACCAAAACGAGTCTGCCTCTACCAAGTCGCATTGTTCTCGCGTAAGTTGTGAAACATCAAAGGATCCGACCTGAAACTAGCAGTATGTAGACGAAACCATTCCTGTAATGTGAAGTAATGCACATTTTGAGGTAGGATTTCCAAGAAGCATGAATAGTACGCATGTGGCGCAGCAGTTGGAGGCGCCACTGCGATACACACGTGGAATCGATCCCCGTGCCCATGGCCCACCAAGCCTTCCATCCCTCCGGGCTCGGAAAATTGGTATCAGACTTGTCTGGGAGGATAGCAGCACTGGCTCGATACATCGGGAGGCCACCATGAGTCACTGTAAAGGCCTGATATGCATTCAATCATTCTCAACGGTATTTAATGAAGTCGAATGTATGGCGCATCCTTCAAGGATTGATCAGCACCGAGAGCTTTATCCTTTATTTTTATAAACAGTACTAAGGAATATACCTCATTCACAATATATTAGTTACTATTCCTCCTAACGGTTTACCGCCTCATCATGGCTGAGAGGTGTTCCAGCAAGGCACCTAAGCTAACAAGGAGTCTGGCGCTTCCATCAAAAAGCCAAGCTAAGAGTAGACGAATACCAGGATCCACCACCATCCTGGTACCAACCAGTCGCATTGTGGCAAATCCCTCTGATCTACAAGTGCGGCGACTGTTTGTGGTGGTGATGGTTAAGCCAGCAAAAATCCGAAAAAGTGAAATTATAATGGACCGGTACAACTAGTGAGAACTGGCTATCCAAATATTCACTTAAGTATTAGTTACTACTAGATTAGATTAGAGTTATTCAATGACTGACAACAATATAGTTGAAGTGAAAAGTAACTAATGCAACTTCATACAAACCCTAAAAGATAAAAAGCAAAGAAGTCTAACTTCGACGTCCTGTGGAATGAATTCCGATAAGAAGACCACAAAAAACGGGGTAACAAGATCATTTATTCCTTGGACGTAACCACTTCCAGGATGACGAATAGCCCAAATATACAGTATTCTTTCAAACATCTGTAAAAGTAATGGTTTAGAAAAGGCGATCTAAAAATTTCTAAAACAAATAAAAATAAAGGAAAAATATTCGTGAAAAAAGAAAATGTTTAGTACCTCTTGTACCAACTTCTGCTGGAAAAGTGGTATTAAAGGACACATCCTCGGTATATCGATATGTATCTGAAAGGAAGCAAAGTTACTAGGTAATAAGAATTCAGTTATTCTTCAGCGCTACTCTTCTTTTTATAATGGCTACATAGAAGTAAAGCCCGTCAGACTTTATCAAATGTATTCTTTCTTTGATGAGCTTTGAATTTTACCAAATGTATTCATCCTCGTCTAGGAAGCATTCCCCCTCTAAGCAGTACGAGTATTAACTTTCAAAAAAAAAGGACAAAGAAAGAATTTTCTTGCTGTCTCTGTACCGTAGACCGGTGTTCTCATGTGCTTTATGTTAACCGAAAACGTTCATCACTGAGATATCCATACTTAGAAGCTAAGAGATTAATGTAGTACTATATGAGCGGCCCAAAAAATTCTGTGCAGAAATTCACAATAATGGAAACATTGAATCAAGATGATTAACCCTCAAAAGGCCTAACTTTAGCATTTAGCGAACACCGCACAGCGCAACCAACTCGAAGCTACTCAGCTGTGACCAAAAACAATAGATAGTCACCACAATGCTACAGGAAAAGTATTGAAGCATGCTAAGACGTAGAACTTCAGTGTACATCTAAAGGCAATTAGTTACAAATAATATGAACCGTTTAAAGCAGTTTCTTAGTGCACACTGAAGAGAAACTGTAATCTAGGAAGAGAAATATGCGAAACGATATTTTTAAATGGGCAAAAACACCTGTCTGAAAGTGTCATTGTTCTGGTCGTCGAACCTGAGATGAAAGTATTGTTCAACATAATGCCAGTATAGCTCCCTCTTGCTTGCCAAAGTGACCTCTCTCCTCTCATAATTAGTCGGAAGATATCCCTAAATTGAAACATAACATTTGAATGACATCTCTAAAAGACATACTGGTTTATTACAATTCCAACTATCTTTCACACAGAAATAAGGCGCCAGTGAAGAACATGTATTAGAGAGTCACAACTGTGTGCACAAGAATAGAGGAAAAATCACTTGGCGCAGAAAATAGGCATTTCCAATGGCTACCAAGGAGTAGGTGTCCAGGATAGGTTTACAGGAACAGCCACTTCCCAAATGATAAGTTTAGCAAAGGAAAAATCAATTCAAACCGCCTTTTATTTCCTGAGAAAGAAACAAAGCTATGAAACGATGCTTGAAAAGGACTGGCAGAGAGGAATCGTTAGCGGTGATTGAACTACCACCAAAAACTACGTTGGTTACTTCGAAACTACTTGTGTGATAGTCTACGAAAACGGCAAATTGCACGACTTCCCCTAACGGTGGCGCTGACAATTCCACAAGTTTTGGTACGTATTACCTGATTTCTTGCAAGGCGAGTAGGGACAAATACGCTGGGAAAACGGATAGAGCGCTCTGCGTCCGTATGAAAGAATGTATAGATGGGAAACGTAAGACAGACAGAATCCTCACCCATGTAAACTACGCGCGGCTGACTTCTCTCGGTGTAAGAAACACAAAAAAGCCGTCACTAGTGTAGATAGATATGTAGAGAGAGAACAAGCTGAGAGAGACGCGAAACGAAGGACTCGCATGGTGTGGTGGTGAACGCGTTAGCCCCCGGAAAGGATAATAGTGTGTTTGAACCTCACCACAGATACCCGCGGTCCGGAGTTTTGCAAATATCTCAGCATCACTGTGGTCAATAGTGTTTTAAAAACGTTGTTTACTATGCAACTATAATTTTTCGTTTGGGTTATGAAAACACTAGGCTGAGTGGACCGCGCATCAATATAACACCAGACCGTAAAGAAGGCGAAATCCCCGGAGATGATAGCCATTGTGGAACAAATACTGTATTTACACTTTAGACCCTGCTTATCTATAAAACATAAACTTGTCCCAGTATTCGTGCTTTTTAAAAAGCTCATACACTCTTATTTTCTCACTTTTCAATGTGAAAACTCTTATCGATTAGTTAGTACAAGGACCCAACAGTATGAGTCGCAAGGAAACTCTACACATGTAAGAATATCATATCTTTGATATAAGTCTCAATCACAACGTTGCTGAGATATTTGCAAAACTCTGGACCGCAGGTGTCTATGGTGGGGAACGAACGCGCTATTGTCCTTTCCGGGGAGTAACGCGTTCACCACCACACCATGCGGGTCCTTTGTTTCGCCTGTCTCTCAGCTATTTCTATTGATCTTTGCCACAGCAATCACCCGTTAGCGGGATTGATCTGGGGCGCCCAAATCGGCATAGAACCCAGTTAAGCTGCGGCTGTAGTTGAAATCACAATGTTATACCTTTTTATTTTCTGCCTACTATAATTTCGCGACAGGGTACTATATCGTTATCGATAGAAATATCTGAGAGACAGGCGAAACAAAGGACCCGCATGGTGTGGTGGTGAACGCGTTACTCCCCGGAAAGGACAATAGCGCGTTCGTTCCCCACCATAGACACCTGCGGTCCAAAGTTTTGCAAATATCTCAGCAACGTTGTGGTTGTATTTCGCTTAGTACCCTGCCGCGAAATTATAGTAGGCAGAAAATAAAAAGGTATAACATGTCTCAATGTTAAACAAAATTACAAACAAGAATTGGCTCAAACGAGTAATCTAAAGAATACTAAAATTGGATAAGATAACATAGGACAGAAAACCTTTCTGACGATTTTGATACTCACGACGTAATTTACGCCACTTACTGATAGCAGCCGCCAGGCATGAGGACGCAGTTTGTGTGGGATTCCCATCCAACAATCTTTCCGAAGTTTCTCCATATCAATATCAGCTACAGGAGAATTCCTATCACCCGTCTTGCCCGCAGAGAATAAACGACGAAGCCGTTCAAATCGTGTTTGATCCCGCTCACCACCTGAGTTAGTATAACAGTCACTAAAAAAGAAATAAAAAGAGAAAAATATCACAAAGAAAATGCTTGCAATAAAGTCTAGCAACAATGGTTTGCCAACTACTTATAGGTAAATGTATACAGGTGTTGGAACGCGATGCAAAACCTCACATTCACACTCTCAGGAACGCTCTCTACTCAAACTGAAGTGTTGACGATTCGAAAACCTATGGGTAGACGACTGCCAGCAATAGTCATCGTCCAGGAAAAAAGCTAGTCCCAACCTACTTGGTGACTACTCTCTACAAATTCTCCAAGAATATTATTGCATCGCACATGCCAAGGGCTTTGGATGAAACCTAGCCAGTTGAGCAAATACGATACTTGTAGAGATTTTTCTGCATGGCTCATATCTAAAAATTATCTATGGTGACACAAGACGGTTGAAAATGCCACCTGCACCCTGTCTAACTTCTGCCGAGTGGGAAAAAGCGTGAAGAAATCTAAAACGAATGCCAATTCACTAGCGCACGTCGAAAAGAGAGAGAAAATGTATTCCATAAGAACTATGGCAACTACTACCGAAACGATTTCACAAAAATATTTCGCAGAAACATAACTCATCCATGGACCAGCTATCACTGTCATTGGAAAAGGATTCCGAGGATAGAAATGGGCAATTCTGATTAGAAACACAACACACCTCATTGTACGCATGGTGCTCAGTGGGCATAAAAACGACACTCAGAAAAGCTACCGACATTTCGACACAACACCACAGTCATCCTAAAATTCTGCAGAGAAGCAGAATTACACCTCTACCACTTCAATTAAACGGGAGCTGCATATCCAGCTTAATTTACGTCTTTTAAAATATAATTGGCACATGTGTTTCTTTGACGAGCTTACACGAGGTTGATAAATTATCTTTATTTTCGGCAAACGTTTCGACCTCTTCATATTCATCAGAGCCGACGATCCAAGTCAATAGGCCACAGAATCCAGTCCAGAGTCGATTTACCAACCTCGTGTAAACTTATCAAAGAAGGAATACATATTGATTACTCATACCGAGGTTCAACGAAAGTCGGTTTTGAAATAAGTGGCATACCGTCCTTCGAGAACTACTTCTGCTCAGAGATTCAGAAGGATCGCTTCGAAAGAGAGCCTGCCACGTACTGTCATTAGCTAATAAAAGACAAACGAGAATAACGAATATAATATATTTCAACAGAATACTTGCGTTCTATCAGAAAACATTCTACAACATGAGGGGATATGCTTGTGATATACGTCGAACTCATGTATTCGCAGTTGGCAACGGTCTGTGAATCACGAACTGACATTCGCTGTTATCGAGTCAGACCACTAAAATGAGTGACCGACTGCGACCGAACGAGTGGAAAATGACATAGAATCCTGATTACTCGGAGAAAGATCCGTAAAAATATTCGGGTTTATTGTTGTTTTTATTGCCTTTGTTCAATGGCTGACGCTTCGGCTACTTTAACTTCCTCAAAGCCTTGCCCTTGGACCACCCGTGTGTTGTTCACGAAGGATAATAAGTTAGGAACATGATCCAAGGAATAAGATCAGGTTTAATGAGTAGATTGTAGAAGATCGATAATGCATGCATACTAACCTTGCGATGAAGACTTTGTTGTAGTGATAGTTGCACGAACTTGGTCGCCAGAAATCTCTGGTAGCTTTGGATACATAGGATTAACACTTTGTACAGGTATATTGTTGAGTGAAGAAGGCAATGGATCTACAATCCACTATAATAACCCTTGTCTAAGTTATAACCAAACTAAAAAATGCAGCAATCGATTACATTTTTGGCGCTTCTTCGAATACTGAAAATTCCTATGAACAGAAAGAGTTATGTGAAAATTACTTAAGGAAACAAGTCAATTTGCTGAGCAGCAAACAGAGCTAATGATTCTTAGCAAAAAATGTTAACAACACCTTTCTGAATAGCAAGTCGTTGCAAAGCTTGAACACGTCCATTCTTGGTCGGTGCAGGGTTTACTGGAGGCATTATCACCTGACAATAAAACTTTGAGTCTAAAGAAACGAAATTCTGAGTTGTTGAAAGCTAAAAAACTTTTCTTTTCCCTCGTCATCTAGGGTCTAACTGCAACCAGTGAAACGAGTGAGCAAGTGGAATTTCGCGCAAAGGATAAAAGGAGTAGGATAAAGTTCTCGGCATTGATCAATCCCTAAGCGATGCGCCATGCATTCGACTTCATTGAGCATCGTTGGAAGTGATTGAATGCATATCTGTCTTTCATACGATTTGCGGTGGCCTACAGATGCATTGAGCCAATGCTGCTAATCTCCCAAACAAGTCTGGTACCAATTTACCCACCCCGGAGGGATGGAAGGCTTGGTAAGCCTCTGGCCCGGGAGTCGACCCTATGTGTATTGCAGGACGCCTCTGACCTCTGCGGCCTCGCCGCTATGCCACTACTTCAATTTTCAAAGTGGGTTTCGTTTCCAATTTTGTGAAAAACCCAGCAAATCTAGGACAAAAATATCTTGAGAAAATACATATTAATAAAACGATTGTACAAGATTTTCCTCTGTAAATCTCTCAAAATCTCGATTTCTGAAGTATTCTAGTCATTGAAAAATTACCTTCAGTTGTTGAAAAGAGACACTAGCGGCCTAACGCTAACAAGGGTCAAAAGAGCATGCCGAACCCCCAAAAGCCACATAGTGTAGTCCGAAGAAGCGAGCTATACTGATGTAGTTAGGAAAAGCTTTGAAGAACAGCATAACTACTGACCTCTTCTCTGGTATTACTGGCTGCATGTGCTGCGAGTACACGAGCTGCCGAAGCGGACGCAAGAGCATCGTCTACCAGAAAACGAGGGTCCCACGCGTCCGACACACTGAATCGACTAGCATTGTATCGAATGAATAACCTCAGTTCACTATTATCTCGCCAAAACAGAAAAAATCGTCATGCGTTTGAATCTATCGATTCACCATTGCAATGAACTGGACCTACCTGTTCTCGTAATCCTGAAATTTCGATTGATTGGGGAAATCTTTGCAAGGACTTCCACATGGCACGTCATGCTGGAGTGGAGGATAGCGCGCCCCGTATACCGGTTTCACACTAGAAGGCTAAGTGCTGATGATGACCAAGACGTGAATCCCAGTAAATGACCACGAAACATCAATTTGGAAAAACACCTACTATGCATAATTTAGCCCTTAATCCTTATTAAGGATGAAGGTCTACAAAAACGAAGATCACTCAATTCGAATCAATACGGTTGGTAAGCGAACCAGAAAGCGAGTCGTCTTAGATCGAAAACTGGCCAACAAAACTCCGAAAAAAAATCATTCCACACGTACCTTCCAGGTGCAGAGCCTGCCGACCATCGACTCATTGACAAAAGGCGTCAAACGGAGGTTCAACTAAAACGGATGAATACAACCTCTAAACAAGTCCACAAAGCTCTCCTGCGAGGAACAAGTTGACATAACCGGTAAATATCGATCGAATTCTGACCGAACTGGCACTACAACAACACACCTAACGCAACCAGAACGCTTATGAAGACGAAACTCGCATTCGCTCACGAATAGCCAGCCACCGAATCGATCGACCGCGTGTCCGTCGGACGATTACGTGCAGTCATTGCAAGATGGGCGGGCCGAACAGCAGTCGCCGGCCCTGTGAGTATTCCTCATCGCGCTCTTGCTGCCACTCGAACTTACCTGGATGGCACGATTTCACTGGTTGTGAGGGCCCCAGCATAATTCCCATTTCCGCGGAGTTTTGCTGGTTTAGCCATCTGGTGTTCCAGAGTCGGCCTAGCCAAGGTCTGGCCCTGGGCCAGGTCGTCACCACAAGCCTGCGGTTGTGGATCAGAGGGAGACTTGCCACCACGCGACTTTGATAGCAGGACGGTGGTGGATCCTGGTATTTGTTTGCTCTTAGCTAGGTTTCCTGATGGAAACGCCGGACTCCTGAGCCTGGGAGGCCCTGCTGGGGAAATGAATTCCCCGCTGCACATTGCATCCCGAAACCCAAGAACACCTCCCAGCCACGATGAGGCAGTAAACCACTGAGAGAGTCTCTCAAACTACCGGCTTTCAATTGTAAAGTAAAACTGGTTCGAGTTTGGCGCCATGATTTTACTCCACAGCCAATGAGATCGTATCAGAAAATAGTGGGTTGCTCGTCGTCAAGGTGGAGGAGACGTTTTTGACAGCAGGGTACCAGGTAGTGGTCAGAATAGCATCCGTTTTGTGGTAGTGAAGTGGATACGACAATCGGAGATGTAAAGTAGTAAGTGCTTCTTGAACAACTCAAAGGATAACAACGTTCCAAGCGTAGAGTTGGACCATGTGTTTGTCACAGATGGGAGCAAACTGCTTGGGATTGGGCAGTAAGCGTACAAACTGGTCAACTAGGACAGTGGTGAAGGACTGTAGATGTTCGGATGTTCTCTTATTATAATCTCAGCAACATCATATGAATTCAAAGAAACATGAGTGCCATCTGCCGGAGATCAACTTAAGGTGGAGTGTTGAAGGTTGTATTTGTCTTAGACACTGCACAACGGAATTGATAAGAGAAATGTCCTTATCAATGAGAAGCTTACTCGAGACGTCAGGCGCTTTTGCTATGCCTAACACTTCGATGATATCAGCATCATTATAGCCGCATTGATTCGAGTCCCGTGTCCGCTGCGTGTATGAAGTTTCCGATAATGTCGCCTTCATTCTTTCATCTGTTTCCTCTTTCTTGTCTTTCTCGTCTCATCCTAACTCGAAGCGCTTCTGAAGAACCCACCCGACAGACATCGCGATGCGACTTTGATGATGACGATATAACCGAAATATTAGGTATTTAATCACTTAAGGTCAACTGTCAACTGTGGCAGTCACTAATCATCGACTAACGTAAGACATTAACGCAAAACTCTCGATATGCATTGATTTCAATACATCTAGTGCGGAAATAATGGCGACTGTCCAGTTCAGGCCGACTCGAACCCCTAGTTCAGCTTATAGTCAACTTTACCAATTAAAAAGAAGGATAATTAGAATTCACATATCCCTGCCAACAAAGTGCAAGTATTTTTAATCTACTAAGATGAAATTTTAATTTCCTGGAAACCATGATTCCGTTGCTGGATTCCATCGAGTAGAACAGTGTGATTTTCCGCAGTGGTTGCATCCTGGCGCTAGAAATTTTATAAATTTATTTAAATTCCTTCCTCCAACTTTTGAAAACCTAAATTCTTAACAAGTCTACTTCCTTGAAACTATAGAAGAACATCTCTTTCATGAAAATTTCTTGTCTTCTCAAATCGTCACCATCGGGCGTTATGTGTTAAATTCAAGTCGTTATCGTTGTCACCAGAGCTGTTCAGTGGATAAGTCCCGTCGAAGAACATGAAGAGTGTCACACTTTGCCATGGTGACCTTTTATTTTTTGCTGTTTCCGGAAAGAACGTAGCCGTGGGCACCTGGACAGACTTAGCCTTGTTTTGTTGGATAGACCTGGATAGGAATGATTAACTTATTCTAAACTTGGTTGGCCCTTCTGGGAAGTGAACCCCAGCTTTGGATCGCAGTTCGACACGTAGGAGTACACTGCATTGGGTGACGAAGGAAGGGGAGTAGATGGGAATTTCTCCCAGACCGAAAACCGAGCTATTGATAATCGGTAAACAGTTGTATAGAAAATTACAACACAATGGGCTTTAATTTTGTGCAGTGGAAGCAAACTCGTGCGGAACACATAGCATATCATCATTCAAAATGTCCCTTTACAACTAATCCGTTAAGATGGAGAACAGCCAAAGAACTCGGGAATTTCCACTCACATGTTGTTGTTGTTGATCTCAGCAGGTTTCTCTTTAATCTCGTCCGTCTTCGTAAAACAAAGCTTAGAACACATGAAGATGCTCATTTGCAGCGTTGGACTTCTCCCTGAAGAACAGTCGAAGATTTAGAACATTTTAAGAAAATCGGCACTCATAGGAGAAGGTTTAGGAAAACGCTTTGTGAAGAGTACAGTGAAAATGGCAAAAGTTGGAATGGCAATTCAGCATGACTTCATCTCGGAAATCATTTTCTGGGAATCTTTCTCGGCATTTGTTTTTTACTGGTTGTGAAGTTTTATGGAGCCGGCAGGAAATAGCGAATGTGATGAGTTGTTAAAACCATTCCATGAGATACTGCTCTACCCCGATGCTTCTACGAATTTTCTCGAATATGTTATGAACCACTAGATATTGTCCGGAACAGCAGTAATCATTGTGAATTATGGAAGGTAAAGCGTGTCATCACAGAACGAAATTTATCCTCTTTTACGTCTCTCATAGACCTTTTGGAAGAACCAGCGCCAACAGCAGACAATATTACAGCAGACTCGATCGATGCGTCCATAATAATACCACTGCTTAACTACATTCCATTAAGTGAAGATGCCCTAACACTTGGCAAATGGGAGTCTACAGATAAGCGAAGTGTGGAACTTCAGATATTGATCACACCTATACACAAAAACGCGTATGGCGAAGCGGTCGGGAGGCCCTGCAATACATATGGGATCGATCCTTGTGCCCCAGGCCCACCAAGCCTTCTGTCACTCCGAGTTCAGCAAATTGGCATGGGACTTGTCTGGGGCGATAGCAGTACTGGCTCGATACATCGGTAGGCCACTGCGAGTCATTGTAAAACGCCACATATGCATTCAATCACCTTAAACGATGCTTAATGAAGCCGAATGCATGGCGCATACCTCAAGGATTGATCAATGCCGACAGCTTCAACTTTTTTAGAGTTTTTATACAGAAGAACACCTACACCATTAAGATCAGTTACCGTATCATTCTATCCGGTAGTTTTCAACGATACTGAGAATCCATTAATCCGGCATGGGATGGAGGAAAAAGCTTTCAAAACGAATATTACTTAAAGAATAAACTCACGAAAAATAATAGTACGACGATCGACGCGGCTACAGATACCCCTAAATCGCTAAACTGAACAGTTGTGGACAATTGACTTGAAGCATTGCGGCTAGGAAGAATACGAACCGCAGGAAACATTGGTTACAATAAAGTCTTTTAACAACCTCATAGAAGCTTATGAATATAGGGAAGTCCAGTAAATAATGTTGAAGAGCATGTGGGTCAAAACCGAATTCAGTTTACGGACAAGTGCAAAAAAAAATTCCATAGATGAGTGCACTCCGTTCAGAGCCTAACGAACAAATGTGCTTCCGTGTGGTATTTCGTATTTTTTATGGGATGATTGTCAAAGCGAAGTTAGCACTCTGAGACAACGTCTTCCACTACCCATGAAGGAGTGCACTTAGACCTTAGAGACATATAGAAGTAGATTGGGAAGGCTTAATAAGAGAGAGTAGTGTGTTGGAGTCGTCTTTCTACTCTACGCTCGATGTCTGCAAAAGTCAAGCTTTCATGAAAACATTAAATTTCATCAGAATGCAAGTAGCGCCTAACCCTTGGAAGGCATGTTGGCAAGGCTAAGTGATTCATTTCATGAGTAGGATTTCAACACATCACAAGTTTCGCACAATGAGTGTGAAATTAGCTTAGCCATCAAGACATGATTGCAATATTTTCTTCGAGAATGAAAATAACAGCGTCAGTTTTATTGCTAACCTTAGAACTGGCCTATGCAACTTTATGCATGTTGTATTATAAAGCTAAAGGATAGACCATCCGAAGTCGATAAATCTCTCAGAGATACGCTGTGCATTTGCCTCTATCAAACACGACCAGGTAGGCTTCGACGGCTTGGTTTGCACGAGAGGGCAAGGTCTAACCAAAAACCTTACGTGTATAGCAGATCATCTTTAACCTCATGCTACCCCTTTCGTACCCTAAAGATCTTGCAGAAAACAAAGGAAATAAAACTTTAAAAGAAAAGTGA